CATTTTGAGAATCCCGCGAAAATCCCGCGAAGGCATTTTAATTCCTCGTGCAGGATAGCCTGATCCTGCACGGCTATTGACCAATCAAATTGCGTGCTTCACTGTAGTTATCACTAAATAAATTTCATTTTTACAGCCGTAAAAACCTGAATGCAGGCATAGCTACTCCCCACCTTTCGGGCCCATTTTCACATACATTAAGTTATTTTCGAACTTTAATCTATTTTCGAATTTAATTATTTTCAAATAAAAGCAGTTCCGTTCGTAGTATATTGCGCCTGCGCACAAATCAACAGCAACCCTCCCGGCCAGTTAGTTATGGGTTCATCACCCAGATTTATTTTTAAAATTTCGTCCTTCCAATACTTCGTAGATGTCCTCGAGACTAGATCGTACACACTCGAGAAATCCTCGGACGTCAGTCGGCAGTCCGTAACTTAAAACATTACACCCAAGACTATCATCAAATATACTATACCCTATACCCAGTCCGTCAGGTACCACAGGCGCAAAACCCCCCATTAAGACACTAGGACTTGAGAGGGTACTAGTGGATATAATGATATGGTTAAGACGGGTGTATGAGGGATCCTGGTAGATCTTAGGTACCTTGCTTGATGATTGTGCAATGTGACGTAGACCAAACAGATGACGATCAAAACCTTGCCCTGAAAAAGGAGATCAAAGGCCGTTGAGGCGGACTCGCGGATCAAATGAAAGTGACAGAAAGAATTAGAGCAGTTTGCAGTTGTTTTTGCAACCCGGCACCGAGCGAATTTTGCCATTTCACCCATTTGTCGTGCTTCTTTTGCCAAATCAAAAGAACGAACCACTGATATCAGTGGAACGAGCGCGTGCTTCAGCCCGATTTCTGGTTCTAAAAGGCCCGCTTCACAGGCAAATAGTGCGCACAAAGCAGCACTGGTCATTTCCCATTGTTTAACTGCCCTACACTCACCCCACACTCAAGTAACCACAAAGAGTCCAAAATCATATTTCAACACAGTCAAAGATTTGTAATATGGACATCGAAGGGAAGAAAAAAGTGCGAATACATCTTGTAGACAAGCTGTGAGACCAAGTTTGTTACAGCCAGAGCTTTCAGATTATTTTGAGTAGGTGCCGATAAAGTAGGCGTTGTGGGGAGGAGGCGTTGTAGGGAAGAGGCGTTGTGGGGAGAGAGTGGTCTAAGGAGTCTTAAACTGTCATTCGAATTAACTAGTATATGTTGATTAGACAACAATAAATTTGGAAAGAATGTTGTACTATTTTACTACTTAAACGGTCCACAAATAGTAAACAGAAAACACTCGCACCCGTTGTCCGTAGACCATAGTTTACCGCGGGAAAACGGGTAGAAATTCCGCGTAAACATGCTGACATCAGCGAAAATTGGTAAACAAAATGGCGATACTCATACCGTAAACTGGGGCATCTTAACCTCTCTAAAGGCCCGTTTACACGGACGATTTTTGCTGCGATTTTCTCCTTTTGGAGGATGTGAAGAAGTGGATGAGTTATAAATGTTCCAGGTTATGGAATCTCATAACAACATCATTAAGTAATCTACTCCTTCACATCCTCCAAAAGGAGAAAATCGCAGCAAAAATCGCCTTAATATTTCAAAAGCACTTACCCATGGCAGCTTCTTTAATCAACTGATTGTGATACTCCGATGCTTTCTGTATCAAACTAGTCATTTCGTCTACGCCTGCTTTATGGGTTCTATCAAACGCCTGACTGCAGGCAACTGTGGCGAGTGATGCAGGACGCACAGTCTCTGTACGGCCATGTTTGAATGCCGCTGTACTGCATGACTCGTAGGAACCAACAAACTTGCCATGTTGACGGTAATACCCCATCTGAAGATTGAAGACAAGAAAGTTGCTGTAAACAAAACCAACTTTATTTATACTGGATAGCTCTATCAGTTCTATACTATTCTTCCTAGAGGTCCAGTAAGGATCATCTCTTATTGATCCAGTGTTACTACAGGAGGAAACCTAAACTAAACTAACTTTATTTATACTGGATAG